AATAGGTATCGAATGACAGCTAGCGAGCCATAGCGACTTGTGACAAGATAAGAATCCCCTAGCTGATACTCCAATATGAGTTGGTGTGACTCCCTACGATTGTACATCAATGGTCACCTGATCTCACACCTGTTTTTACCGTATCCTTCCTTCTTTTGCTCCCCATACGGAAAGTGTCGACTTAAAAAAGCTTAACAATATAGTATTCGATGGCCTATCCTAATGTTGTGCACAATGCTCTCGTTGAATTTTGTTTAAATTATTATAGCCTAACCTAGTCTAGAGGCTATAAATAAAAAGCAGAAAAATATAATAACAAAAGTTTTATTTAACAGAAAATTTACTAGTACAACTTCATAATTTAGGTTCTACGTTCGGGTTTTGCAAAATAATGGGATGGTATCCTTTTTTGTTCAACAAATTGTGAAAATTCGTAAGGCAAACAAAGTCGATTGGGTATATCAGTTTCACCCTTACATCTGGGGCATGTATACTTAATGGGGATTGGAATTGTAAACAGTATCAAGTCTATCAACGTAATGCTTCATTTCAATGAGAAAGTCTCCTGTTATACAAGTTTGAAGTTTGATAATTATTACTAATACGGCATGTTTCGAATAGACTCCTGTGATAACACTTGGTACTTTGGGAGACTTGGGTAGCATTCGAATACTAGCTATTTTGAATCCTATTCGAATCCTGTATTGGAATCCTACGGAAAGAGACCCGACGTCGGTTGAATCAGAAGAAAGTATAGTGCAACTTTGTGCTCATTATTATGCTGCATTGATATTTCAAAAATTCCGAGTGCTGTCCAGAGATATCAGGAAAACCTCGAAATTCGCCAGAAATGATTTTATTTTTCCAATACCGCTTGTCAATAATAGGCAATCCTCCTTACGCTTATAATCCTTGGTTTGTGTCAATATCGGCGCTTGTGAATAATGGGCACTCCTCTCGACGCTTATAATCCTTGGTTTGTGTCAATCAATAGCTGTCTTTCTCTGTTCCTTTACGTTACATCTTTCTTCTCTCTCGAGTAACGAAATTTGCCCGTGACGCGTTTTTCAAATCACTCTCCATTGTCGTCCAAATAGCAGAAAGCCGTTTAAGAAGTTTCTTTTCAAAAATTATTGAAATGAAAATAATCTTGATACAATTTTGGAACATAAATAAAAGTTGTATGATATTATGTTAAGTGTGTGCTGGCGCTATTTGACTGTGAGTTGGTGGTATACAGAGATCAATGGTGGCTTCATCTCTGTCATTCTCAGGAGAATAAAACATAGTTTATACTAAAGCTTATTTTTATTCTCAACAATCATTGCCAATATGGTTAATGGGACTGTGAGTGCGACTACCATCTAAATTGTATCAATATTCATAATCATAAAAATGAAATACGTCTTTATCGTCACCCTTGAATATATTTTTTTTTTTTCAATAGATAATGAGTATTTAAATAGAAACAGATCCCAAATTTCCGCATACTTTTTTCCTCATCCCATGTTATTTGTGGATGAAATGAATTAAAAATTCCACCACATTGATTGCAGATGTGCGGCAACTCCCATGACGTTACAGGTTATCCTGGTACTGGCAGATATGAATAAGCTTTTAGAGGGTTATGATCCTATTGATACTTATATTTAGAGCTTAAAGTTGTTGTAGTGTCCAGCCTGTAAGAGACATTGTTTAGTATATAACACTGCAATTGAAATGATACACACCGCTTTCTTTTTCCTGGAATTCTGTGAACTTTTTGTTCAGGATGCCTGAAAACCCAAATGACCAAATTTATTTCTGAGCAGGGGGTGGTAGTGGCAACCGGTATCTTTCTAGCACTTTACTGAGGCTATTTGGGCCCCTTATAGGCTACTTCCAGTTTCAACTTGAAAGTGGTTGTGTCATATTTTAGTCCTCTATTATGTTATTCCATAGTTACCGTGATTTGTTAAAGGAAAAACCAGTTCTAAAACCCCTTCTTCTCGTGTACGTGTACGCATGTTTGCTGAATTCGGTGGGTCGGTTGCTCAAGAATGTGCGAAGTTAGTTTTCTCATATCCTTGCGCTATTCAACTGTTTGCTCTAAATTATTTTTTTCGCATACGCATTTTCTGCTATCCTGGTAATTGTGTCCTCCGTCCGTCCTAATACTGGATAGGTATGCCACAGCTAATTTCAAAACGTGCTTCACGCTGATAGGGTCCTGCTTTGATGAAAGCCGCTATGTTTCGATTCGGTTCTTGAAAGATGTTTTGACAAGACTAACGTCTTCCTCCTGCTTCACCAGGTGTTGGCTCGGTGCTAGAGACACCGAAGATGACCAACCCATTGATTTATCGGTGCCTCCAAGTCGCAATCCTCACACCACCGGCATGTGGCTGATATTGAAGGTCCTGAAAATAATTAAATTAGATTTAAAAAATGCGATTAATGTCAACTTACCAGCAAAAGTCTAGCTTGCTTCATCATGGGGGCGGTGGGATCTCCAGCCTTTCGTTTGGAGGCTCTCTTGGAGCTGGGTGTTTTGATGGTGTTGGATAGCCCCCTCTGCTTTAAAAATCCCACCACACTGGTTACAGATCTTGGAAGATGATTAGCAATCCCATGACGTTTCAGGTTATCTCCTTCCTGGTGAACGATTTTGTACATAAAATTAAAAATTCGCTGTTTATGGGAGGTTTGTTTTAAAATAAATGAAAAAATAAAACCAGTTTAAATTGGTTAAAGAACCTACCTAAATTTTAGAAAAAGAAATTTGAGTTTTGTGCAAATGTAAGTGTAAAAGTAAATTCAAGTTGCT